TCTCTCTCTCTCACCTCCCTCTCTGTCTCATTCTCTCTATCTACCCTTTCTCTCTCTCCTACCACCCTCTCTTCTCTCCCCTCCCTCTCTGTCTCATTCTATCGCTTCTCTACCCTTTCTCGCTCTCCTACCCCTCTCTCTCTCCTACCATCTCACCCTCTCCCCCATCTCTCTCCTACCCCTCTCACCCCTCCCCCCACTCTCCTCCTACCTCTCACGCACCCTCTCCCCCACGCACTCCCCCTACCTCTTCACCCTCTCCTCCACCCCCACTCTCTCTCCTACCTCTCACCCTCTCCACACCACTCTCTCTTCTACCTCTCACCCTGTCCCCCACCTTCCTCTCCCTACATCTCACCCTCTCCCCCACTCTCTCTCCTCCATCTCCACATCTCCCCCTCTCCCCACTCTCGCTTCTACATTCACCCTCTCCCCCACTCTCCTCCTACATCTCACTCTCAACCCTCTCACCCTCTCCCCCCCACGCTCTCTCCTACATCTCACCCTCTCCTCCCCCACTCTCTCTCTCCTACATCTCACCCTCTTCCCCCACTCTCTCTCCTACATCCTCACCCTCTCCCCCACTCTCTTCTCCTACTGCTCCCACCGTCTCCCCCACTCTCGTTCTTCTTCTACCTCTCACCCCTGTCTCCCCTCTTCTCTCTACCTCTCACCCTCTCCGCACACTCTCTCTCCTATCTCTCACCCTCTCCCTCAACTCCTCTCTCACCTCTCAACCTCTCCAACCACTCTCTCTCTAGCGCTCACCCTCTCCCCCTCTCCGCCCACTCCTCACCGCCTTCCCCAATCTCTCTTCTACCCTCTCACCCTCTCCCCCCTCGCTCTCCAACCTCTCACCCTCTCCCCCACTCTCTCGACTACCGCGCACTCACCCTCTCCCCCAAACTCTCATCCTCTACCTCTCACCCTCTTCCCCACTCCTCTCCTCCTACCGCTCACCATCTCCCACACTCTCTCTCCTATTCCTCTCACACCTCTACCCAACCTCACTCTCTCTCCACCTCTCAACCTCTCCACCCCTCTCTCTTCTACCCAGAATCTCCTCCCCCCTCTCCCCCCTCCTCACCGTCCTATCCCCCCTCGAGCTCTCTCAGTACCTCTCCCCCTCTCCCCCACTCTCCTCACCTCTCCTCTCCTCCCTCTCCCCCTCATCCCCCCCTCTCTCTCCTCACCTCTCCCCACCCTCTGGCCTCTGCCCAAGCTTATTCTGCTCAGTCCTCCCATCTTCCCCCCTCTCCTCCAACTCTCTCTCCTACCTCTCAACCCTCTCCCCCACTCTCTCTTCTAATCTACCTCTCCCCTCATCCCCACTCTCGTCTCCTCACCATCTCACCCTGTCCCATCCCCCCTCTATCTCCTACCTTTCTCACACCCTCTCCCCCACACTCTCTCCTACCTCTCACCCTCTCCCCCACTCTCTCTCTCCTACCAATCTCACCCTTTTCCCCCCCTCTATCCTACTCCTACCTCTCACCCTCTCCCCCACACTCTCTCCTACCTCTCACCCCCCCCCTTTTTCTCCCCACTATCTCTCCTAAAAAATTACCTCTCACCCTTCTCCCCCACTCTCTCTCTACCTCTCACCCCTCTCCCCCCACCTATCTTTTCCTACCTCTCCCCTCCTCTTCCCACTCTCTCTCCTACCCTCACTCTCAACCCTCTCCCCACTCTCCTCTCTCCTACCTCTCACCCTCTCCCCACTCTCCTCTCCTACCTCTCACCCTCTCCCCCCACTATTCTCCTACCCCTCTCACCCCTCTCCCCCACTCTCTCTCTTACCTCTCACCCTCTCCTCTCCCCCACTTCTCTCCTAAACTCTCCCACCCTCCTCCCCCCTCTCTCTCCTACCTCTCACCCTCTCTCCCACTCTCTCTCCCTACCTTTACACCCTCTCCTCTCCATCTCCTCTCTCCTACCTATCACCCTCTCTCTCTCCCTCCCACTCTCCTCCTACCTCTCACCCTCTCCCCACTCTCTCTCCTACCACTCCCCCTCTATCTCTACCTCTTCATCTACCTCGCACCTCTTCCCCCACTCTCCTCTCCTACCTCTCACCTCTCCCCCACTCCCTCTCTCCTACCTTCTTACCCTTCCCCCATTCTCTCTCCTACCTCTTCACCCTTGTCCCCCACATCTCTCTCCTACCTCTCACCCTCTCCCTCACGCTCTCTCCTACCTCACCTCTCCCTTCTCCCCCCCTCTCCTCTTCTACCTCTCACCCTTCTCCCCCACGTACCACTCTCTCCTCCCTCTCCCTATTACCCCCACCTCTCTCCTACCTCTCACCCTCTCCGTCCCACTTCTCTCCTCCTCCCTTCTCCCCTCTGCCCCCACTCTCTTCCTTCTCTACTCTCATCACCCTCTCCCCCCCACCCTCTCCCCTACACCCGACCCCTCTCCCCCTCTCCCCACACTCTCTCTCGCTCCCTTCCATCACCCTCTCCACCACTTCTCTCTTCTACCTCTCACCCGTCCCCCACTCTCTCTCCTAACATCTCACCCTCTCCCCCTCTTCTCCTACAGCTCCCCCTCTCCCCCACTCTCTCTTCTAACATCTCAGCTCACCCTCTCCCCCACTCTCTCCCTCCTCATCTCACCCTCTACCCTCTCTCATCACCCTCTCCCCCACTCTCTCTTCCTACATCTCACCCCACCCTCTCTCCGCCTCACACCCTCTCCACCCACTCTCTCTCCGACTCTCACACCTCTCCCCCCCCTCTCTCTCCTACTGCCAACCTTCTCCGCTCCCCCCAGCGTCTCTCTTCTACCTCTCTCACCCTGTCCTCCCACTCCGCTCCGACCTCTCACCCTCTCCCACACTCTCTCTCCTATTCTCACCCTCTCCCTCACTCTCTCTCCACCCCCTCTCAACTCTCCACCACTCTCCTCTTCTAGCTCCACCCTCTCCCCCTCTCCCCCACTCCTCACCGCCTTCCCCATCTCTCTTCTACCTCTCACCCCGCCTCCCCCACTCTCTCCCCTACCTCCTCACCCCTCTCCCCCCCCTCGCTCTCCAACCTCTCAACCCTCTCCCCCACTCTCTCGACTACCTCTCACCCTCTCCCCTCTCACACTTCCCGGTCTCGTTCCCCCAACGATCTTCTCCTACCTCTCACCCTCTCCCCACCCTCTCCCCCACTGCTCTCTCCTACCGGATCTCACCCTCTTCCACCACTCCTCTCTTCTTACCTCTCACCCGCCTTCCCCACCTCTCTCCTAACCGCTCACGCCTTCCCACACTCTCTCTCCTATCTCTCACCCTCTCCCTCACTCTCTCTCCACCTCTCAACCTCTCCACCACTCTCTCTTCTACCTCTCACCCTCTCCCCCACTCCTACCGCCTTCCCCCACTCTCCTCTTCTACCCTCTCATCCCCCTCTCCCCCCCCTTCTCTCTCCTACCTCTCCCCCTCTCCCCCACTCGCTCTCCTAAACCTCTCACCCTCTCCCCACTCTCTCTCCTACCTCTCACCCTCTCATCCACTCTCGCTCCTAACCTCTCACCCCTACTCCCCCCCACTCTCGTCTTCTACCTTCTACGCTCTCACCCTCTCCCCCACTCTCTCTCCTACTCTCACACCCTTTCCCCCACTCTATCTTCCTACCTCTCAAACCCTCCTCCCCACAACCTCTCTCTCCTACCTCTCCAACCCTCTCCCCCACTCCGCTCTCCTACCTCTCATCCACCCTTTCCCCACTCTATCTCCTACCTCTCACCTCTCCCCCCCCTCTCCTCCTACCTCTCACCCTCTCACACTCTCCCCCACTCTCTCTCCTACCTCCACCCTCCTCCCCCCACTATCTCTCTACCTCTCACCCCTCTCTCCCACTCTCTCTCCTACCTCTCACCCTCTCCCCCACTCTCTCTCCTACCTCTCACCCTCTCCCCCACTCTCTCTCCTACCTCTAACCCTCTCCCCCCCTATCTCTCCTACCCTCCACCCTCTCCCCCACTCTCTCTCTTACCTCTCACAACCCTCTCCCCCACTATCTCTCCTAACTCTCACCCTCTCCCCCACTCTCTCTCCTACCTCTCACCCTCTCTCCCACTCTTCTCTCCCTCTCTCCTACCTTTCACCCTCTCTCCCACTCTCTCTCCTAACTCTCACCCTCTCTCCCACTCTCCTCGTTCCTACCTCTCAACCTCTCACTCTCACCCCTCTCCCCCTCCCCCACTCTCTCCCTACCAATCCCCTCTCATCTTCTACCTCTCACCTCGCCCCCACTCTCTCCTCCTACCTCTCAACCCTCTCCCACACTCTCTCTCCTACCTCTCACCCTTTTTCATCACCCTCCTCCCCCTCCCCCATTCTCTCTCCTACCTCTCACCCTTTCCCCCACTCTCTCTCCTACCTCTCACCCCTCCCTCCCTCACACTCTCTCCTACCTCTCAACCGTTCTCCCCCACCTCTCTCTTCTACCCTCTCACCCTCTCCCCCACTCTCTCTCGTCCTACTCTCAAAACCCTCTCCCCAACTCTCTCTCCTAACCTCTCACGCCTCTCCCCCCAACTCTCTCCTACCCACCATCTCCCCCCTCTCTCCACCTCTCCAACCCCCCACAGTCTCTCCACCTCTCACCCTCTCCCCCACGCTCTCTCTTACCTCTCAACCCTCTCCCCCACTCTCTATCTCCCTGCCCTTCCTCCCCCCTTCCTCCCGCCCTCTCTCCCCCCTCTTTCTCCCCCCTCTTTCTCCCTCCTCTCTCTTTGCCTGCCCTCTCTCCATCCCCCTCTCTCTTTCTCTCCTACCTCTCTCTCTTCTCTCTCACTCCCTCTCTCTTTCCCTCCCTCCTCTCCTTCTCTCCCTCTCTCTCTCTCCCTCCTCCCTCTCTCTCCTACCTCTCTACTCCAGCGGTTGATCCACTTGTCTCTCTGTCTCCTGCTGATGTAAAAAGGATCTCCAGCCTGAAACGTCTCTCTGGGAACCGGCCTTCTGCGCAGCCTGCTGCCTTCCCCCTGCACACACACACACATGTTAGCTAGTTTTGTCTGTCTCTCTGTCTGCCTGTCTGTCTTTGCTGAATGACCATCTTATTATTATACAGGCACGCTGCAGACCAGCTAAGTGGAGTCCTTGCCTCCATGTTAGGTTCCTTCGGCTCCAGAGGCTCCATTTTCCGCCGGCCACGTTTCCTGCGAGGGGAGGGGTCAACTTCCTCTGGGGGTGTGGGGGGGGCCATCTCACACGAGTCCTGGAGAGAGAGCGAGAGACAGAGAGAGAGAGAGAGAGAGAGAGAGAGAGAGATAGAGAGAGAGACAGAGGTTGAAAAATAAAGACTGAACTTTAACCAATGACCACTATCAAATAACATGTGAGTGCTTCTGTGAGAGTTTTAGCACCAGACTGAGACTGCCCCATACCTGCTATTAACAACAGCTATTTAACAACAGTGTTCAATGAGGCTAGATGCTATTAGCGTTAAAACAGTTTTTAATCAAGCTAGCTGCTATTAGCGTTAAAACAGTTTTTAATCAAGCTAGCTGCTATTAGCGTTAGAACAGTGTTCAATGAGGCTAGATGCTATTAGCGTTACAACAGTGTTTAATCAAGCTAGCTGCTATTAGCATTACAACAGTGTTTAATCAAGCTAGCTGCTATTAGCGTTACAACAGTGTTCAATCAAGCTAGCTGCTATTAGCGCTACAACAGTGTTCAATGAAGCTAGCTGCTATTAGCATTACAACAGTGTTCAATGAAGCTAGCTGCTATTAGCGTTACAACAGTGTTCAATCAAGCTAGCTGCTATTAGCGTTACAATAGTGTTCAATCAGGCTAGCTGCTATTAGCGTTACAACAGTGTTCAATGAGGCTAGATGCTATTAGCGTTACAACAGTGTTCAATCAAGCTAGCTGCTATTACCATTAGGCTACTGTGTTAGTACAACGCAGTTTCTAATGATGCTAGCCATATAATGCTAAAACAACATGGCGTGTTTAATAAAGCAAGCCACTCATGAAATCACAACCAAGTTAAACAAGGTGCTAATATTATGCTAGGCTGCTAACAGGCTAGCTGGGTTTAACGATCCTATCAGCTAATCAGATCACTGTGTTAAAACAACAGTATGTAACATGAGACAAATACAATTTGATTTGATTTGATAACTAGCATACTGAAACAACACTATATAATGATGCTAGAAGCAAAAAACTATGTCTGCTCTAACAGTCTAGCAAGTTTTATAGGTGTCACTAACAAGCAAGCAGTTTAGTTTATAGGTGTATAGCTAGCAGGCTAACGGGCTAGCAGGCTAATAGGCTTCCAGGCTAACAGGCTAAGTTTATAGGTGTGTCGTTAAGGAGATTGTGAGTCCGGAGCTCAAAGGCTACATTAATGAGCCCTAAGAGACTCAGAGACCATAATGAACAGGTGAGAAGCTCCATAAAACACAAACACTGGAGACCATGTGCCCCTGGAAACACACACACACACCATCTTTCTCCATTCTCTGGTACTGGTACAGCAGCAAGAAATCTCATGTAAGCTTCCAGAAATAATGCCTAGTCTTTAGCTCAGTAGGCCAACATGGTCTTTGGCAGGTGAATGGTAGCTAGCTGCTGCATAGTGGGCTGAAACCATATGTGACTAGTTTCAGGAAACGAGGTGTATGTCGCACGTCAGGAAACTAGGTGCATGTCGCACGTCAGGAAACTAGGTGCATGTCGCACATCACTACTTCACAGGAGAGGCATTTGAACGTAAACCTTTTGGGGGGAGAAATGCATTCTGGAACATGTGAACTTTCATGTGCCTTAATAACAAACTTGTATGCAATCTGTAAATACGAATACAATTGTTAAATTACGAGCCTAGTTGGTTTAGCCATGGAAAAAGACAGCAACCTTCCCGCTAGCCATGATTGGCTGAGATAATGAGTGGGCTGGACATGCCAAGAGATGAGTTCGGATTGGTCTGCCATGTAGAACGCTTCTGTAAAGTGGTGATCCCACTGGCTATAAGGTGAATGGTGATCCCACTGGCTATAAGGTGAATGGTGATCCCACTGGCTATAAGGTGAATGGTGATCCCACTGGCTATAAGGTGAATGGTGATCCCACTGGCTATAAGGTGAATGGTTATCCCACTGGCTATAAGGTGAATGGTGATCCCACTGGCTATAGGGTGAATGGTGATCCCATTGGCTATAAGGTGAATGGTGATCCCACTGGCTATAAGGTGAATGCACCTATTTGTAAGTCGCTCTGGATAAGAGCGTCTGCTAAATGACGTAAATGTAAATGTCTATAATATGAGCTGGTCAGTATGTGTAGGTAATCCTTTCTAATGCGTCTTTTTTTAAAGATATCACGTATTAGAACTGCATAAGTGTTGCTCTCCACTTTCTGGAGGACCGAGTTTTGAAATCAGTGGAATTAGAGTATGATAGCTAAGGAGATGGAGAAAATTCTGCCGTTTGATTGCAAATATGCAGACAGAGTCGAAAAGAGAACACACAGAAGGCGGTTGTATAAAACACCTGTACGGATTACATCTTCAAACTAAGGGCGACCATGACATCTAGCTACATTTTCAGATATTACACGTTTCTAATTTTGTCAGAAAGTAGTTTTCTTTTCAAGTTAAAGTGTACTCTTAGCTAGCTAGCTAACGTTAGCTGGCTGGCAAGCTAGCTAACATTACGTGTATGATCTGTGTAGTAATATTATTCGTATCTCAGAGCCATTTGCATTGCAAGTTATAACCTAATGTTAGCTATCTAACATTGTACCTGGTTAAAGAAAGGGTAGTAACGTTATGAGTTGGGATTATGGTTCATTGTTTAGCTAGCTAGCTACATGTCTAATCAAAAGACTCTACTATGGAAGAAACTATTTCAATAGAATGTTTATGACGTCACTGCGACAACTGTTGATAGACATAGCTGGTAAATTCGCTCTGGCTATCTACTCCGATTTCAGAGCACTCTCGTCTGAGTGTGCCAGAGCGCAGAATAACTGACGAATTTATGAACGTTCAACACTGTTGAATATGGCCATGTCAGTAAATGTTGGCAAAAAAGAAATGGGTGGGGCTAAAGCTTAAGAGGGTGCTGAATGGGTGTAGACAAAGAAGACCTCTCCAGTAGGTACCAAAACATTCAAGGGCCATTTTCTCAAAATTGAGGTTATACAGTGGGGAAAAAAAGTATTTAGTCAGCCACCAATTGTGCAAGTATCCCACTTAAAAAGATGAGAGAGGCCTGTAATTTTCATCATAGGTACACGTCAACTATGACAGACAAAATGAGAAAAGAAAAACCAGAAAATCACATTGTAGGATTTTTAATGAATTTATTTGCAAATTATGGTGGAAAATAAGTATTTGGTCAATAACAAAAGTTTCTCAATACTTTGTTATATACCCTTTGTTGGCAATGACACAGGTCAAACGTTTTCTGTAAGTCTTCACAAGGTTTTCACACACTGTTGCTGGTATTTTGGCCCATTCCTCCATGCAGATATCCTCTAGAGCAGTGATGTTTTGGGGCTGTCGCTGGGCAACACGGACTTTCAACTCCCTCCAAAGATTTTCTATGGGGTTGAGATCTGGAGACTGGCTAGGCCACTCCAGGACCTTGAAATGCTTCTTACGAAGCCACTCCTTCGTTGCCCGGGCGGTGTGTTTGGGATCATTGTCATGCTGAAAGACCCAGCCACGTTTCATCTTCAATGCCCTTGCTGATGGAAGGAGGTTTTCACTCAAAATCTCACGATACATGGCCCCATTCATTCTTTCCTTTACACGGATCAGTCGTCCTGGTCCCTTTGCAGAAAAACAGCCCCAAAGCATGATGTTTTCACCCCCATGCTTCACAGTAGGTATGGTGTTCTTTGGATGCAACTCAGCATTTTTTGTCCTCCAAACACGACGAGTTGAGTTTTTACCAAAAAGTTATATTTTGGTTTCATCTGACCATATGACATTTTCCCAATCCTCTTCTGGATGCACTCTAGCAAACTTCAGACGGGCCTGGACATGTACTGGCTTAAGCAGGGGGACACGTCTAGCACTGCAGGATTTGAGTCCCTGGCGGCGTAGTGTGTTACTGATGGTAGGCTTTGTTACTTTGGTCCCAGCTCTCTGCAGGTCATTCACTAGGTCCCCCCGTGTGGTTCTGGGATTTTTGCTCACCGTTCTTGTGATCATTTTGACCCCACGGGGTGAGATCTTGCATGGAGCCCCAGATCGAGGGAGATTATCAGTGGTCTTGTATGTCTTCCATTTCCTAATAATTGCTCCCACAGTTGATTTCTTCAAACCAAGCTGCTTACCTATTGCAGATTCAGTCTTCCCAGCCTGGTGCAGGTCTACAATTTTGTTTCTGGTGTCCTTTGACAGCTCTTTGGTCTTGGCCATAGTGGAGTTTGGAGTGTGACTGTTTGAGGTTGTGGACAGGTGTCTTTTATACTGATAACAAGTTCAAACAGGTGCCATTAATACAGGTAACGAGTGGAGGACAGAGGAGCCTCTTAAAGAAGAAGTTACAGGTCTGTGAGAGCCAGAAATCTTGCTTCTTTGTAGGTGACCAAATACTTATTTTCCACCATAATTTGCAAATAAATTCATTAAAAATCCTACAATGTGATTTTCAGGATTTTTTTTTCTCAATTTGTCTGTCATAGTTGACGTGTACCTATGATGAAAATTACAGGCTTCTCTCATCTTTTTAAGTGGGAGAACTTGCACAATTGGTGGCTGACTAAATACTTTTTTCCCCCACTGTAAGTTGATCAACTTTCAAAGCAAAATTAATTTCCCATTGTTCCTCAACTGTAGTGTATGATATACCATTTTCTAGCTCTGAGTCTCTACTTTTATCCAATGTAAAAAACTACATTTCAAATTTTGCTACATAAGACCGAATCGAGCAAGTCGGTCACATATGTTCCTACCAAGACTATAAGATAAGAGATCATCATACATTTAGTAAGAAGAGAGACGGAGAGAGAGAGATGGTGAAAGAGAGAGAGAGAGAAATATATGAGAGAGAGAGAGAGACGGAGAGGGAGGGAGGGTGAGAAAAAAACGAGAACTAAGGACTGATCCCGAATCCAATAAAATGGAGACAACAACAGAAACCTTGGGAAAATCCTCTGCATTATCATTAACAGCAAATTCTTACATTTCCTCAGTGAAAACCATGTACCTTCTACCAAATTACCGTACGACAGACAACGTATTCACCCTGCACACCCTAATTGACAAAAAAGCAACCAAAACAAAGGCATTTTTTGCTTTGTTGATTTCAAAAAAGTTTTTGACTCAATTTGGCATGAGGGTCTGCTATACAAATTGATGGAAAGTGGTGTTTGGGAAAAACATCCAACATTATAAAACACATTTACACAAACAACAAGTGTGCGGTTAAAATTGGAAAAAAACACACACATTTCTTTCCACAGGTCCGTGCGGTGGGACAGGGATGCAGCTTGAGCCCCACCCTCTTCAACATATATATCAACGAATTGGCGAGGGCACTAGAACAGTCTGCAGCACCCGGCCTCACCCTACTAGAATATGAAGTCAAATGTCTACTGTTTGCTGATGATCTGATGCTTCTGTCCCCAACCAAGGAGGGCCTACAGCAGCACCTAGATCTTCTGCACAGATTCTGTCAGACCTGGGCCCTGACAGTAAATCTCAGTAAGACAAAAATAATGGTGTTCCAAAAAAGTTCCAGTTGCCAGGACCACAAATACAAATTCCATCTAGACACCGTTGCCCTAGAGCACACAAAAAACTATACATACCTCGGCCTAAACATCAGCGCCACAGGTAACTTCCACAAAGCTGTTAATGATCTGAGAGACAAGGCAAGAAGGGCCTTCTATGCCATCAAAAGGAACATAAATTCGACATAA